AATTTGTACAGAGTGAAGAAAGGTGTATACTCATTCAATATAAGTGTGTGTGTGTGTGTGTGTGTGTGTGGTGGAGGGAGGGTATAGCTCAATGGTAGAGCATGTGCTTAGCATGCACAGGGTCCTGGGTTCAATCCCTGGTGCCTCCATTAAAAATAATAAATAAATAAATAAATACCTAATCTCCCCCCACCCCCTGCCCAAAAAAACCCAAAAGAAATATAAGCAGATTTTCTGGGATTTCTTGAGCAGGAATTGAAGTTCTCTTGAAGTCTCTGCACATCCATCTCTTCAGGTGTTTTCTGGTAATTGGCTCCCTCTGCTTCAGTTTGCAACTGACACATCCCAGCTGCACCAACTCCTATGCTCCCTTTCAACATCACCTGTCATGGTTTCATAGAATCATCTGTGATCTTTGTCCCCAGTTCCTGGCACATAGCACCTAGAAGCCTTGACATTTCCTGATCGATAAGCGATACGAATGTCTTTTATACTGATGAGGCGACTCTTGCCAGCCCTCTAGATAGCTTCAGGATGGGAGCTGGTCACCAGAAAGACCAAACCTCCATTAGAAGATTGGCACTTTCACCCTCACCACCCCACCCACCCCAGCTCTGGAGACGAGAGAGAGACTAGACATCGAGTTCAACACCAGTGGCTAATGATTTGATCAGTCGTGCCTCCACAATGATACCTCCATGAAAACCCCAAAGAATGGGTTTCAGGGAGCTTCTGAATTAGCAAACATGAGCTAGGAGGATGATCTGCCCCAACTCCAAGGGGACAGAAGCTCTGTGCTCAGAACCCTTCTGGACCTTGTCCTAAGGACCTCTTCTTCTGATTACTGATTTGTCTCCTTTATAATTAACTAGTAAACACAAGCAAAGTGCCTTCCTGAGTTCTATGAGCCATTCTAGCAAATTATCAAACCTGGAGAGGGGACACAGGAACCCTGATCTATAGCTGGTCAATCAGAAGTATGAATAGCCCAGGGCTTGCAACTGGTGTCTGAAGTTGGGGACAGTCTGATGGAACGTAACTGTTGAACTTGCAGGATCTGATACTAAGTCCAGGTAGATAGAGTCAGAATTGAACAGAATTTTTGGACACCGAACAATGTCATGAGGGGAAAAACCAACTGCCTCTGAGGCTTTCAGTAAAAAAGCTCAAGAGAAAATTGGCCAACTGGTCTTTTAGAGCCAACTTACACTTCTCAACGCCTCAGCTAAGGAAAAGAGAAGCCACCGGGGACCCAGGTGTCTATCTCATGTTCGGTCATCTACAGCCAGGAGGGTGGCCAGATCAAGTGGTTGAGCTCATGATGGAAGGGCAGTTTCCCTTCGAAGGGGATACAGATAGGCAGGCATGTCAAGGTGGACATCTCTTGAAACTGGATCCCCAGTAATTAGTAGATTCATACACTGGTGTTCATCACATATAGACACCATACATGTATACTCACAGTCTGTAAACACTCCCATTTAAACATACAATATAATGTATGCATATATATACACAGACTCACATACACACACATGCTATCTAGCCACAGACAACTGCACACTATATATATATATAAAAAACACACCCGTACATGTACACAATACAGATGTAACTCAGAGATATTTCAGGTTCAGTTCCAGACCACCACAATAAAGTGATGATTGCAATAAAGCAAGTCGCACAAATTTTTTGGTTCCCCAGTGAATACAAAAGTGACGTTTACCCTATACTGTAGTCTACTAAGTGTGCAACAGCATTATGTCTAAAATATCAATGTACATTAATTTAAATTAATTATATTTAACACAGGGTTGCCACAAACCTTCCATTTGTAAACACTGCGGCATCTGGAAGCAGAATAGAATGAGGTGTGCCTGCATGTACACATGCGTTACAATATACACTGTGCATATGATGTCCATTTGTGTGCACACACACTTACCTACATACACAATATATGGATATCCATACATACTTATACAATGCGCATGCCATGTGAACACACACAATGCACATATATCTACATGTGTAAACACGCACATATGAATCCAGTGTAAACACATCCACATAGCACGCACTGCAGAGATGCATACGTGTACCTGAGTATTCACACTACATGCACACACGAAGTAAATCCACACACACACACAACCACATAGTGTCTGCACACACAACTGCGCTGCCAGCTTCATGGCCACCCCAGGGCCTCCATCCCCCAAGCTAACTGTCCCTGCTCTCCCTCCCCTGACAGCCATGCACACAGCAACTTTCTTCTTCCCCACGGCCCCCTTCATCCTCTTTGTCTTCGCGGCTTCCACCATATTTCACCTTCAGCAGCGGCTGGTGAAGATGCAACCCTCGTGGGAGTTAGAGATGCTGGAGTCAAAGATGGTGGAGACTCCCTCCAGCCCCCCGCGGAAGGGTATGTGGACGATCAATGCAATAGGCCGCCTGGGGAACCAGATGGGGGAGTACGCCACCCTGTACGCCTTGGCCAAGATGAACGGGCGGCCGGCCTTCATCCCGCCCCAGATGCACAGCACTCTGGCCCCCATCTTCAGAATCACCCTCCCCGTCCTGCACGACACCACGGCCAGCAGGATCCCCTGGCGGAACTACCACCTGAACGACTGGATGGAGGACCAGTACCGCCACATCCCGGGGGAGTACGTGCGCCTCACCGGCTACCCCTGCTCCTGGACCTTCTACCACCACCTGCGCGCCGAGATCCTCCAGGAGTTCACCCTTCACGACCACCTGCGGGAGGAGGCCCAGAGTTTTCTGCGGGGTCTGCAGGTGAATGGGAGCCGGCCGAGCACCTTCGTGGGGGTCCACGTGCGCCGGGGGGACTACGTTCACGTTATGCCCAACGTGTGGAAGGGCGTGGTCGCTGACCGGCGATACCTAGAGCAGGCCCTGAACTGGTTCCGGACTCGCTACAGCGCCCCCATCTTTGTGGTCTCCAGCAACGGCATGGCCTGGTGCCGGGAAAACATTGATGCCTCCCGTGGGGATGTGGTGTTTGCCGGCAGTGGCAATGAAGGCTCACCAGCCAAGGATTTTGCGCTGCTCATGCAGTGTAACCACACCATCATGACCATTGGGACGTTCGGGATCTGGGCCGCCTACCTTGCAGGTGGAGAGACCATATACCTAGCCAATTACACTCTCCCAGACTCTCCCTTCCTCAAAGTCTTTAAGCCCAAGGCAGCCTTCCTGCCAGAGTGGATCGGAATTGAGGCAGACCTGTCCCCACTACTCAAGCACTGATGTTAGCTGGTCCTCTGGACCCCATTCTCCTTTTTTGGCTCCCCCAAGGTCAGTGCCAATGCAGGAGGAGCACATTGTTACATGTTCCAGGACACTTCCTCCTAGTATCAGAATGCTTCAGGCTGCAAGTAACAAAAGTCCCAATGAACTTGTTTAAGTAACATGTTCATGAGTCTCACACAACAGGAGCAGAGGTGGCACATCTCCTGGGTTAATTTAACAGCTCAGGAACATCATCAGTGACCCCAGTTCCATCCATCTTGTTGAGCTGCTTAATCTCTTAAATTGGCTCCCTCGTGGTCCCAAGATGGCTGCCACACACCCAGGTGTCACACACAGACAGCCTCTTCCCAAGGCAGCAAAAAGAGGTTTGTTCTTATCTTAGGTCCCTTTTGAAGAGTGTGAGAAGCCTTCCAAAACCTCAGCAAGTGGCCCTGTGTCTTAATGACCAGAAGTGAGTCCCATGCCCACATGACTCCTTCCTTACAAAGCACGATGAATCAGACCCTGGACTTGACTTAGCCTCAGATCAAGAAATCTTTGCCCTCTGCAGCTGGGAAATCAATCAGCCTCATCTGAAGGACACGGATGTTTGCAGAAAGAAAATTGGGGTGCTCGTATCAAGGAAGAAGGGAAGAATGGCTATAGAGTGCAAAATAGGAAAGCTCTGAGTTATTGTGCAGGTAGGTCACTAAGCAAAGGCACCTGGCCAAGGAGTCAAGTGGGGCTTAACTAGAGCCCACAGTCTTCTCTCCAAGCCATGTGTCCTAGGGATGGAGCCCACCCAGAGGGCTCACTTTTTTTTCTAGTTAGCCCACCCAGAATAGAGACCTTTTTTTTCCAGTTTTCACAAGAGAGCCATCTTGGCTAGTAGTTGGGTGTGAATCCAAGACCATATGCCCCACCTCTGCAACCCTGGGTTCTAGGGCCTCAGATGATTAATGCTGAGAACTCAGAGACCAGCACGGCTCAATGAACTCGAGGGGAGTCCATCATCCTTGTAGTAACCATGTGTGGTGTGAACCTAACAGACAGGATCTCTGCCCTCAAGGGCTGCATTGACAAAACATAGCGGCTTAAAATGACAATTTGTTATTTCCCACAATTCTGTGGGTCAGCTGGGTGATTCTCTGCTCCATGCTAAACTGGCTGAGTTCTCTCAAGCAACTACATGTGGAGCTCAACTGGTGTAGGACTGGGTAACTTGGACTTACTCACAACATGGCTTTTAAGTTGTTT